AAATGTGAAATTCATGGTCCCGGCGGCCAGTCTACTTACATTGTACTTCACATACTTCAGCTTATACTATTTCATATTGAATGAAGAGCTTACAACATCTTTCTGTTTACAGATCTTCATTCATAATCTTACACCTGAGTTGAGAGTGAAATGAAAATGCTTAACCTTGCAATCAGATACAGTGAAAGAAGTGTATAACATTCTCATTATACAGAAACAAGTGAGTCAATTATGATAGAAAATACTGTAATTGAGTATATCTCAGTAGAGAATGAATAATCAGACTTCTATAACACAAGTTATACATCTGAATACAATAAATCTAGATCTGAATGTCATCACTAAAGTACTGAATCCTCTGAAAAAGAAATCCTCTGAGTGAAAATCTTGATATTATGAGTAATGAGCTTGCTTCAACTGCAGATACTAAAATCATGATGTAAAAGATTACACACAGTATACACAGTCAAGAGAAGCAAGAGAGTTAAAAAACTAGCAGAATCAGTGAGCTCAGAGACACTCACTGATATTCTATGAAAAGTCTTCAAAGTGAAAGAGATGTCTGTGTTAGATGACTCTCTGAATTCTGTGAATACTAAGAGAAAGCAGACTTCTGAATGAGGTGTGAGTGAGAATGATGAAGTGAATGCTCATCTCAATGTCTTAAGACCTGAAATGTTAATGTATAAGAGATACTTAAATAAGAATCAAGAGATGACTGTAAAAGTGTTAGCAGACACAGAAGCTTCTACATAATATATTAATAATTATATGATTCAAAGACTGAAAGAGATCTGCTGAGTGAAGAATTTCTGATATATAAGATTATCTGATAACTGATATTTAATATCACTTATAAGAGTAAGAGTTCTCTTGCACTTTGAAGAATAATCTTGCTATATTTGAGTGTGAGAGTTGCAGAATGTGAAATACAACTTTATTCTCAGACTTAATTAGTTTCAAAGATTCAATCCGCAGATTCAATGATGTACATATTATATGCAGTTGACTGATAGAAAGAAAACAGTTCATACAATCCTATCAACTGATATGAGAAGGATATTTCACATCTCTAATATAGAAGGATTAAATCTACTTATATATTAATAAGCAAAGAGAACAATTTGTAAGATCTTATCTGAAAGCATTCTGTATATCATACAGAACCTGAAAGTGGAGAAAATCAAGATAAAGAATATACAGAAGAACAAGTATATGAAGAAGCTTCTGAAAAAGTATGAAAAGATCTTCTGAACAGATCTTTCACTGAAATTGCTGCTGAAATGAGAATTTGTACATGAGATTGACATAAGAGACATGAAACCAGTCAATCAGAATGTATACTCTCTGTCACAAATGCATCTTGAAGAACAGAAGTGTCAGATCACAGATCTTCTAGAATGTAGTCTCATACAACTCTTATCAAGCGCGTGAGGCTTTTCAGTTCTATTTATAAAAAAGGCAGATGAGGAGTGATGAATGTGTATCAATTATTGAGCATTTAATAAGCTTATGATTAAGAATGAATATTCACTGTCATGAATTCAATAACAGTTGAATACAGTTGAAAACATCTGATATCTATCAAAGATCAATCTTCTCTCAGAATACTGACAGATCTGTGTAGATGAACTGTCAGCTCTGTGAACTGTGTTTAATATGCAATGAAGAAAGTTTGAATTCCTGATAATATTATTCAGTCTAATAAATATATCTGTCATCTTTCAAATGATGATGAATACAATTCTTCATAAACAGAATGAAATCTCATGCCTTATATATCTTGATAATATTCTAGTCTTTTCAAACTCATATAATAAACATCTGAAGTATCTCAATGAAGTGTTTATAACTCTGGCAGAGTATAAGCTTTATATCAAACTGATAAAGTGTGTGTTTGAAATGAAAGAGTTGAAGTTTATAGAATATGTAGTGAGTGATGACTGTATACATCTTATTCTGAAGAAATTGAATGTCATAGTAAATTGACTGCAGCTGAGAAATGTATATTATATATGACAGTTTCTTAAGTTAGTCTCATATTACTGTAGATTTATCAAGAATTTCACATAAATATCTGCATCACTCTCAGATCTCTTAAGAGAAATAGATACAAATCTGTGAAAGAAGAAGTTTTATTCAATCATCTGAAATGCTGCATGTAAAGAGGCTTTTCTCACACTGAGAAAATGTGTAATAATATTCTCAGTGCTTATTCAATCAGATTGTAATAAACCTTTCTACATCAAGACAGATGCATCTGAATGAGCTATCAGAGATGCTCTTCTGCAGATGAGTAAGAACAGCAAGCTGCACTCAGTGATGTATGATGATAGAAAACTATCAGGTATTGAGCTCAATTACTCAGTGTATGAAAAGAAATTGCTAGTAATCAAGCACATGCTGGTGTTGTGAGATAGATATATCAATAATAAGTATATGACAATGATAATCATGAATGATAAAAGTCTTGTCTATCTATAATCAATGATAAAATCTTTCAAACACTTAGCATATTGAATCTCAGAGTTTCAAGTGTATAATCTTCATATCAAATACTGAAAGAGATTGAATACTGTGATATCTGATATAATCAGTCACAGATCTGATTTCATGAGTAAGAGTTCTATGAATCAGATATAAGAAAAGTTCACATTAAATGCACTGAGAAGATGTAAGAAATCAGAATGAGTGAATGTAATAATCTCTCACTTGAAGAATAGTAAGATGTTGAATAACAAGTATTTCATAAAAGTAGTAGAAGAGATGCTTCTGAACTTCAAGCTGAGAAAATTAAAAAATAATGTTATACTTTACTGTGATCTAGAATATGCAGAAGCTCTCTATCTAGAACATTTATTTAGATGTGACTTGATAACTCACATGCACAAGAAATTCAGTCACTTAGAAAGTTCTGAACTCATGAGTGTACTTGAATCAAGAGTATACTGATCAAGCATGACTGAGGACATTCAGATGTATACTCATAAGTGTCTGAATTATCAGATTGTGAAAGAATCTAAGAAAGAATTAGAATGTAAGAAAGTATAACATCAGATAAAGTGTATGATACAACTGTTTAAATGATAAGAGATGAATCTCATAGACATACTGCTGTGAACATCAAATAGAAATTGATGAATAATTACTGCTATTAATTACACTACTGACTGATCAGTTGTGAAAGCAGTTTCAGAGATAATAGAGAAGATAGTGATGAAGTTTCTATACAATAAGATCTATATCAACTATGAAATACTGCATGAGATTCTAACTGATAACAGTGTGAATCTCATAGAAGAAGTGATGAGACATTTCATGAGCCAGTTATAGACAAGATATTGTAGAACAACATTATATCATCTGCAGATAAATGAAAAAGTGAAACACTTGAATGAAATCTTGAGAAACATGCTGATGAAATATCTAATGAACAAGTCTATAAGATTATGAGATGAATATCTTGATCAGATACTATTAGTCATGCAAATTCAGCAGTACACAGTCTTTAAGTGTTTATTATTCTATCTGTTGTATGAATTGCACCTGTGCATTCTGAAGAATGCTTCAGAAAAGATGAGAAAGAGAACACTAGTTACAGATGCAGCAGTAGTAGTTGCAGATGCAACAGTCATGAATATGGAATTAAGATTGAAAGAGATCAGTCACACATATATAAAAGCTAATAAGTTACTTCTGAACTGAGCAATTCAATTGAAAAGAATATGAGACTCACTAGTTAAGAAATCAAGTCTCAAGATGAGAATATGAGTTTTTATACACAATGAAAGTTCTGAGAAGTTTCAATCTAGATGATTTGAGTTATATAAAATACTCAAATCACATTCTCTGAGAACATATACATTGAAAGAATCAGAGGAACAAGTCTTATATACTTAATAATTGATTCATGACTGACTTATAAAAGTAAAGATGCAAGACCTGAGTAAATTATAATTATTTACAGTACTATTATCAGCATTGAAAAAGAAGAAGCTTATAATTGAAAAGTCTCACAAAGTAAGAGAAATCATAGACACTTACAAATCAGACAATCTCACTTATTTCAATCTTTTCACAATTATAAGAAAAGAATGAGAAGAAATGAAGAAATCAGATAAACATTATACTTCAATAAGTGATGAGACTGTAGCTGATTGTATAATAACACACTGCAGACAGTGAGTGCAACACAGTAAAGAGCAGTCTCAAAGCAACAGACTTACACATGAATCAGATTACAGAAGAAAAAGAAATTCAGAGTTGAATTTGACTGTTTACATCAGTTCAATCACAGAGATAACAGAGAATGAAGCATCTGAAACATTCATGAATGCATGAAATCAAGCCATCTCAATCTCTGAGAATGCTCAGAGATTGAGTGAGATTAGTTTTGATGAGCTGTTCACTGTAGTAGTCTGAGCAGGTGAATAGAGACAGTATAATACATGAGACAGAATCATAAAAGATGAAAGCTGCTGAATCTAGTCACTGAACACTGTATTATATAGAGATCATATAAGAGTAGTAACTAGCGGATAAAGAAAAAGTGTAAGAAAAGAAAAGAAATAATGAATTGATTATTAACTGTAAGAGTCAGCTGTAAAAGACAAATATTATTATATACATCTTATTCATTTTCATACATCACATATTAATCTATTTTCAATGTCATGTCATCTGAAAAACATCAAAAATAAAGAAAATCTCAAAACTTGAGATCTGTAAGAAATTCAAGAATTGTAAGCTACTCTTATAACAACACTGTACATATCTCTGATTTCTCTATCACTCTACATACAACATTAATATCATTTATCACAAGATTGACTGAAATGTCAATATAGAAATGTGTATATATATGTGTAGAAAAATTGAAGAAGAGCACAGAACTCACAGAATCAGAAGTCAGAACAGAGAGAGCAGAGACAGAAGAAACAGAAGAAGAAGAAGATACAGAACTGAATGAATGACAGCAGAAGTCACTCAGAGCTGAATACTTATAACTCAGTATATGCACAATCTTCCTCACAGAGAAGAGAGAGAAAGTGATGAAAGAAGCTTGAGAGTGAGAGAGAATAGTCTTGACAGCATTATCATCTTCAATTAGAATGATCTCTGACACTGAAGCAACTAAGAATCATTATTAGCATATAAAAATCACAAAATCAGAGATGAGAATAGTTACTGAACAAACATCTGCTGATCTTAGAGTTGTATGTATAATTACAACACACACAAGACTTCTCAGAAAGAGAGAGAGAAACATGAGAAAATACAGAAAGTAGAACACAGTGTGTGAACAGCTTATTCTCATAACAATATCTTATACAAGACATATGAGTCTCACATCTGTGAGTGTAAAAGAGTATGACATCTGTATTTCTATTTCTGAAAACATGAATATCTTTTGCCTGCATTATGAAGTCAGATGATAGATATCAGAGAATAGACTGATATAGATCTATTATTCTGAAGAAATTCATTAGAGCAGATATCTCTGTAATATTGAACTTTACAGTTATAAAAAGTTTCTTAATATCTATGAATATCATGACTTCATATATAATAAAATTTATAATGATTTTCTCTAAGAATAGAAAAATCAGCATCAGAAAGAAAAGATGAAAAGAAAAAGACTTACAATCTTAACACTGTTGAGAGAGAGAGTGATTCTCTGATATGAATGAATAATTACTTTATCATGAATATTTAAAATGAATGTAATAATCAGTATTTATAACTGAGCTCTAGATAGTTATATTGTATACAGTCTTTGTACAATAAATTATTCTAGAAGTTGATAAGAAGAGCAGAAGTGTACACACTGAGAAACATGATTTATTAAGCCTATACAACATCTTCTTGAAACAGGGAGAGCTGATAATGAAAGCAGAGACAGCAGAATCAGAGAGAGCAGAAGTAGCAGAAGTAGAGATTGCAGGAATAGAGGTAGTGAAAGTGAGAGAATCAGACACAGTGACAGGTGTAGAAGATTGAGAGAGAGTGACAGAGAAAGAAACAGAGAGAGCAGAGAGAGATGCAGAAGACTCAGTCACATATAACACAGACAATTCCTTTATTATTATGTTCTTCAAGTTCTCAATCAATGATTCAACATTGAAATCATAATCATTGACAGATGTGAATCTGTCAATGTGTGAAGATTCTACATGAATTAAAACATCAGTATCTGCAGTCATACAATACAATCAGAAAAACATGATCAGATACTGCTGAAGAAAAGAGAATCAGAGATGTATAAGAAGATGAAGAAGATGTGTCATTTATAATAGTATATTCTGACAATTGTTAGAAGATAAACAAGTTCTGATCATATTTCACAATGTGTTACACTTACTGCTAACAAACTGTCTGATATAAGCACTACAAGAATGCTTGTTATGAGAATGAGAAATCATTACCAGAAATGTATATGATGTGATAGATGACAGATAGAAAGAGTTAACAGA